AGTATTTTGGAAAACAAAGATTTGCGACAAGATCTAGCTTTTCTAAGAAGCAATTATCAATTCGTATGTGAGGTAATAGAAAAGTTAGAAAAACCCAACATGTTGTTGGTAGATGCCGTAAACTTAGTGAAAGAATTTAAACAAGCAAATGCAGTAAGGGGTGATATTGGTACTAGAGTATCTCAAAAACTTGATCAAGTGTTAAATAAAAATGCAGGTTTCGGTGTTCTTTCCGACGTTGCTCGTGTTTTACAAGGCCAGAAGGTGGAAAATTTGGAGTTAGATTCAACATTAGTTGCAAAATTCAAATTTTCGCCAACAACGAGTGTGGATGTTGAACGCACATTCTCCAATTTTAAACACATTTTAAGTGATCGGCGAAAAAATTTTACAGTGGACAACTTGGAACATATTACAACCATAAATTGTTTTAAAGAAAACTGAAATAGGTACGTGTGTAAAATATAAAGTCTAGGATGATTGTAATAATATTTTATCCAAAGTTCTAAGAAGTGTTCTTTGATTTGTAATATGATTATGTTTTTAATGCTTTTTTGCTTAAAATAAAACTTTTTTAATGAAGGTGTTATGCTTATTTAATGCTTTTTTGCTTAAAATAAAACTTTTTTATTGAAAATGTTGTGCTTATCTAAGCGCTTATTCTTAATTTTTTTGTGCTTATAAATCCGCTCTCTAGTTATACATATATAACCCTGTATAGGTACTTGACTACGACAATTGTGTTTTCTTTTTGAAAATATAGCCAAAGTTAGGTAAATATAAAAAATCGGATGATTTAAAACGATCTCTTTATACATTGTTTTACTTCTTATTACTGAACTTGTTTCTGTTTAAAAAAAAATATATGTTCCAAATGCTAGTAAGTAGGGCCCGGACTTTAGGTTGTCTGCCTTTTTGTTCCTTTTTAAGGCATTTACATGAAACTTAGATATAAATGTGTTTCGCAAAAAATAACGTTATTTGAAAACAAGTTGTCTTGTCCCAAACTAAAAGAGTTCCTACAAAAATACACTGGAAAACACATTCCGGATGAGTCCACGCTTCGAAAAAATCACCTGGAGCAGTGTTTTCAAGACGTAATTGAAGAAATTGTATATTTTAAATTATTGGACTAATTTTTTTTTTTCAGACTGTTGAAAGAATTAAAACTTACATTGGAGACAACGATATTTGGATTTCTGTCGATGAAACAACAGATTCAGTGGGCAGATATATGGCAAATATGATAATTGGAAAATTAGATTGTGAAGCGGCTAGTGTCCCAATTTTGCTTAGTACAAAAAAATTAGAAAAAACCAATAAATAATCTTACCATTTCACGATTTGTAAATCAAAGTTTGGGTAAATTTAAACCTATTTAAATAATATCTACTTAAATTTTACATCATTTTATTATAATATTTTAGGTGTACTGTGGCCTGCGGGCATCAAATACGATAAAGTCAAGCTTTTAGTGACAGATGGTGCGGCGTATATGCTGAAGGCCGGAACGAATTTAAAAATATTTTACGAAAATCTGCAACATTTGACATGTTTGGCGCACTGTTTGCACCTTGTGTGTGAGTCAGTATAGTGAACCAAGAGCTATAAGGTTATATGGCCATCATAAAATCATCCCATTGTGTCGAAGTTAAGTTGTTTACAATAGAAAAGGTTTTAGGGTCGTAAATAACGTGTCCACTGCAGCTCGACCGGTTCTTATGGTTTCGTTCAGGGGCGGCTTTCACTAAATATGAAAATCCACCACTCCACTATTTCTTTACTACCTGCAGCCGCTGACTATTCCGAAATAACCACTCGCTTTGAAAGCCGGCCCTGTTAAATATGAGCAAGAAATGTTTAGAAGATGATTTATTGCCAACCGGTAAGCTTAGTGCGAACCACACAAAGGGGGTATTTATTTGCGGTCAACTACTTTTATGATGGCCATATAACCTTATAGCTCTTGGTTCACTATACGTAACCAGTACGAAACTGTCGACGGGTTAATTTCGAATGTTAAAAAAATATTTTTAAAAGCTCCAACTCGAGTTGAATTTTATAAACAGACCTTGCCCGATATTCCACTACCACCGCAGCCTGTATTAACGAGATGGGGGACATGGATAAGGGCCGCATTATTTTACGCAGATCATTTTGATGACATACACAAGGTTTGAATTAAATTGTTTCATTTCTGTCAATTAAATAAATATTTCAGGTAATCATGACTTTTACCACAGGAGACGCACGATGCATCGAGTTGGCACAAATATATGTTAATAAACCACAACTGAAGAACGACGTACTTTACATTAAGGCCAATTTTAAAATATTATCGGACAACATAACAAAATTGGAAGCGATTGGTCTGCCACTAACTGAGGCTGTAGAAATCGTAACGCAAACATACAATTCATTAAAAAATGGTTCAATGAAGGATTCCAAAATCGCGTTCAATAAATTAAAAAGTAGTTTGGAAAAGAATCCCGGCTTTAAATTTATCAAAAAAATTAATAATTTATTGTCTGGCGAGAATGTGGACATGAGTCCCGAACCCTTTGATTGCGACTGGACACATTTTAAATTTGCTCCAATTACATCAGTTGATGCAGAAAGATCGTTTTCAAGCTTAAAAAATATCTTAGCAGATAATCACACATCAATGACAGGTGAAAATCTAGAGCGATATATAGTTTGTCATGCGAATGCTTCCCTTGAATAAATTATTAAATTTATTACAGTCATATTCAAATATTTAAATCTTTAAATAATTAAATATATGTATTATATTAATTAATATTTTGAACAACTCTTAAACAATATAAAGACTGAAAAAAATTGTTTTAGTTGCTTTGAAATTTTGAAGATTTCAGATTTGTATCAACCTATTTGAACCTATTTCAACATTTTTATAACCTAATTTGAAGTTTTTTAAAGCCTATTTTAGGCGCCTTTTTCGTCATTTTGTGTGACGTAAAATCCGGGCCCTACTAGCAGTGGCGGCTCGTGACTGTCTGATGTGGTGAGGCGATGATAGAAGTTTGACAATAATAGTAATATTACTTGGTCTTACTAGTTAGTAATGATAGAAGTCTTGCCTGAATACCGGTCATTCCCGGGTCAGTGGTAGGTCCTAATAATAATAATAATAATAATAATAATAACACCCATAACACATTGAATCAACAATGTTTTTACAAGTCAAAATTTTGTTGAAAGTAGCACTTTCTTGGAGGGATTCGGGAATAGTTGTTGTGTTCTTTTTCTAAACATTTTAAGCCCATGAAATTTTTAATATGTACTTTGGAACTTTCATGGAACTTTGCACTTCGGATGAAATTCGTTAAATCGTTGTATCCCGGGATGTTGTGTAAATATTACGGCAGAGCCATTTATATGTTTCGTAGGTACCAAGTTGATTTAAATGACTTGGAGTACTGACGACTCTGTCGCTTATCAATGGAAGTTAAATGAATTAACGGTTTTGACTGCTCGATATTTAGCAAAATTTGCCGACGTTCTAGCTCGGTTCGCCGTGAAAACGGCGTTTCAAGAAGCAACATGACGATGTCGTACTCGGGATTCATTTTTCACTCACCTGTACCTATGAAAGAGACAATAACACAAAACACCAACACGTGGGTTTTTATTCACGTTCATGCTAATTACCCACGCACCCCGCAACCCTATCGTTCTGTAAAATAAATGGAAAAATGGCTTAATGAGTACGCCGAAATTGGCCGAGAAGCACCGAAGATATCGCCTCAGTTCCGAACGGACGCATGTATGGGAGTATAGGAGCTGAGTCATCGAAATCCGTGTCTGTGATTGGGCTTCGCTGGTTCAAGTGAACCGACGTTCTCGCCGCTTCAGTTAAAGAACTAGGGGCATAAATCGTACGGTATTCAACGGAAAATATCAGCAGGAAGGGTAAAAAATAAAAAATCATGTACAGATTTCCCATTTCAACATATTTTTGTAACTAATGCATTGAAAACTCTTTTTTAATTATAAATTAAGTCAATCTGTTCTTAAGATATTATGCTGTGAGGCGCCGCCTCACTTGCCTCATCTGACGAGCCGCCACTGCCTACTAGTAAGTTTAAATTTACACACATTTCATAATGGCGCGTGGGCGGGGCTTGGCTCGCCCGTGTCATCACCAGTCGTCACTGTCTTGATAAAGCAATTGTAGAGAAACAAGAACAACAAAGCCCTATCTCATTTTACATGCGCGAGGGAGATGGCACATAGCTCCGCCTGTCGGAGTGCAACCCGAAATTTGACAGAGGCTCTCAAACAGTTATGTATTGTTGTAGGCAAAATGCAAAAGCGAATAAACAATTTCCACCGTCCACTTGCGCGTAAAAACGTGTTGTTTACAATAGGTACCATGACAAAAAAAATTACATTTCATCTGTTTCATTAAACATCTTCTTTTCAAGTTCGACAAAACAATCTTTTTTTGTTTGAGAACTTCTGCTTTGTACGATCGTTCCGGTAGATCTTTAGGACCGCCCCTAAAATGCTAGGTAATACGATAGGGAATACGTACCTACCATATGAACCTCAATGAGAGAAAGTGAGACAAAAATAGTAACGTTTGAGAAGTATTATTTGTTACGATACAGTACCAATCCATCTCCATCGTCGAAGGAATGAAAATACTTCCTTGTATTCTTTAACGGTCACAGTCCAAACTCTAATAATAGCCATATCGACAAGAGATCTTTTTCTTAACAACGCGTTCAAAAAGTAGGTTCCATTATTTTTAACAATACATCAGTCAACTATTAGTATTATACTGAGTTTTATAAAGTACTTTATCTATATAGGTAAATCTATTATCAGACTTATATCTACTAAAGCAAATTTGATTTCGATAACCGTCAATTGTTGTTTATCTCGATTTTTAAACCTTTCGGCAAAATCGATCACCGCTTGTTAAAACAAATAAATTTATTTCTTTACGGCACCAATGAAATTAAACCAAAACAATTTTGTAAATTTTTATTAAAAAAAAACTTGTAAAAAACACAATTTAAATTTGTTTGGGGAAATAATCAGTGTAGAAAATGTTCCAACAGATTGCGACCAACATCAATATAACATAAACAGCCACGGCAATCCAGCACATCACGTTTTCTTTCTTCGTGAGCTTCAAGTTCTTCAAAACAACTATACCGACCAGGAGACCCGCCACAGGCCCAGCAAAATGCGCAACGTATCCTATATGTTCCTCCATATTGGCCCAGTAGCGGTTGTAGATGGAAGTACCGACGTCCACGCCGGTTATAAGAAGGAAACTGATGAGTTGGACTGCTGGGAAGCTCATTTCTGACCAGTTCTGCAACAACACCAACGAAACTATAATATATAATAATACAGTTGATTATTGCATTAGAAAAAAGTCGTCTAGGATTATGTTGGCAACACTACCGGGTTTGTTTAGTTTGACAGTTAAATTTCACAGCCTACTAGACGACTTTTTTGGTTCTATAGTTTTACCATGATTATAGTGGCGCCAACTTAGACGTCGGATCCGTGATGGAAGTCCCCAACGACCCAGCCACCACCCCCGCGAAGTAAATCACCAGAACCCTCCACCACCCATGGACCATTTCCAGCGGAATCCCAATGAAGAATTGTACTACCAAGTTGACCACCAGATGGAGATACCTTCAAGCAAAAATCAGCCAACTTGACAACAACAAAAACGACTAAAACTCACCCTATATGCACGAACATGTAAGTCAAAAACCTCCAAAACTCGTATCTCTTCGCCGGGTCGTAAATAAACAACATGGCCATGGGCCCCGCCGCATACTTCGTGGAATTGGCCTCCTTGGCCTCATCAATACAGAAAAAAATTATCTCGATGACCGAAATAATGATCATCCCGAGTCTGGGGGGGCAACACGAATATTCGTCTTCGTACAGAGTTTCCAGATCTGGTTCGTCGTCCCATACTCCTAGCTTCCTTCGGGGGACCACGAAATTCACGTACTTGGTCACGTATCGGCCGAAAATCGAGCGAAATTTCGGGTCGTTGACCATGTTAACGAATTCGGTGTAGTTTAGGCGGCCGTCGTGGTCGGCGTCGGCGATCTGGTGGATTTTGCGGACCACATGGGACGGGATGGGATCTTCGGTTAGGCTGTTTCTGCGAATCATGGTCTGGAGCTCTTGGATTGTGATGAACCCATCGTGGTCGATGTCGGCCTGCAACGAAAAATGCGTATTTTTAAATTTGAACTAGTTGGGGTTTTTGGAGACTAGTGTTGGCATTAACCGTAACTGTCAAAATCATGGCCTACTCTACCTTTAAACTTGCCAAAATTTGAACTAAAAACCTGAGTGGCGTTTATTTATGTGTCTATTCAACGACGATTTTCGCTTAGATTTGAACACACATTGTTGACACTCGTACCACTGAACGTCCCCTTCATCCAAATGGAGCGCATTTATGTGCTGCTTTAACGGAGTACTCAGTTTGGACTTGTAGGGACACTTGTCGCATTTGTACCACTTGACATCCTCTTCACCCAAATGTCGCACTTTTATGTGTCTTTTCAAAGTCGAGTTGTCTTTAGCTTTGTAAGGACACTTTCCACACTTGTACCACTTGATGTCCCCTTCATTCAAATGTCGCGCATTTATGTGCATTTTTAAATTACCTAAACGTTTAGTTTTGTATGGACAAATTCCACACTTGTACCACCTCATGAACCTCCTATCCACACAAAGACCCTTCAAGTCAGACCTTCGTTTAACCTTGTATGGACACTTCACACAGTGATACCAAATGCTGTCGTTGTCACTCAAGTGTTTGAAAATTTTGTGCTTCCTACATTTTGTTTCAGTGTTTTTTGGACACTGAGTGACATGCTGGAGCCACTTTAGTGAAAAATAAGTGTCAAAGTTGCACACTTGACAAACATAATTGTTGATGACAACAAGTGAATGTGAAAGGTGCTTCTCGACGTATAAAGACTTTTGTCAGAAATACCATGGCTCAAGATAGACTGTGTGCGTTGGCAATGTGCTCGATTGAAAAAAGATTAATTCGTTCAACCCAGAACTTGAACGAATTAGTAATTGAACATTTTGTGAGACAAAAAGAAACAAGAATGGATTTCATCTATAAACAAATTTCGTAACTAAGTAAGTGGTTTGAAAAATTTTATTGCACACCTACCTACATAGGTATATTAAAAGTATAATTAATTTTCAATTTTTATTTAACTGTTAAGTACACTATTTCTTTTGTACGTTTTTTTTTTATTATTAAAAATGTTGTCAAAACTTACTGCTAAGCAATATCAACACTTCTGTTGGGAAATGAAGATTATTATTATTATTATTATTATTATTATTATTATTATTTTCTTTTTTGTCTTTGCCCTTCCTCCCCAGAAGCTTACGAGCCGCCACTGCGTATCGGCCGAAAATCGAGTGAACTTTCTGGTCGTTGATCATGTTTACGAATTCGGTGTAGTCTAGGCGGCCGTCGTGGTTGGCGTCGGCGGTCTGCTGGAATTTGCGGACCACATGGGTCGGGATGGGCTCGTCGGTTAGGCTGTTTCTGCCACTCATGGTCTGGAGCTCCTGGATTGTGATGAACCCATCGTGGTCGATGTCGGCCTGTAACGAAAAAAAATTGGTCTAAAGAGTTTAGTCGCTGTCGGAAACGTGACGACTGCATGTCTATTATGTTTTTTTTTCGCAGTAGATTTCATTATTTTTTTTGAGTCACCCGGTATATGCAAATTCAAAAAATATGAATGGAATGATAAATTACAAGTGCAGACTCATCATATTTTGTATATTCTAGATAGGATTTATTCGACAAACTTTTGAGCTGACGTCATCAGTTTTTTGTAGAAGATAACCAAATATATTTTGACTGAAAATTTATTATGCTCTTTATAACCTTAAAACATTTACAAGATTTCAAAACATTCGGTTCTGGAGTTCCTGATTAAATCAATAAAATACATTATTATTAATTAATTTTTTGGGTCACCCTGTATATGCAAATCCAAAAACTATGAATGGAATGATAAATCACAAGAAAAGACTCGTCATATTTTGTACATTTTAGATAGGATTTATCTAGCAAAGTTTTGTGGTGACGTCATAAATTTTTTAGGGGGGATGAGCAAATACATTTTGATCAAAAACTTACCATGCTTATGATAACTTTAAAACACCTTCAAGATTTCAAAGGATTCGGTTTTGTAGTTCCTGAGTAAATCAGTAAAATAAATTTACGCATTCATTAATTTTTTTGAGTCACCCTGTATATGCAAATCCAAAAATATGAATGGAGTGATAGATCACAAGCACAGACTCATCATATTTTGTACATTTTACATAGGATTTATTTGGCAAACTTTTGAGCTGACGTCATCAAGTTTTTGGAGGGGATAACCAAATATATTTTGAGTAAAGATTTATGATGCTCTTTATAGCCTTAAAACATATGCAACATTTCAAAACATTCGGATTAGCAGATTCAAAATTAAATTGCAAAATGTTGTTTTATAGTTTTGATTTTTTTTCCAAATATCTGGACGTTTCGGGTAAAAACTCAATTCGGAGTCGTAAATTACATGTTTAGGACTATATTATTTTATACAATTTAAAACCCATTTACTATGTAGGCAAATATAATATTTTGATCAAAAATTTACCATGCGTATGATAAATTTAAAATTTTTCCAAGATTTCAAAGCATTCGGTTTTCTAGTTCCTGATTAAATCAATTAAATAAATATGCAGATTCATTAAATTTTTGGAGTCACCCTGTATGTTTATGCAAAACCAAAAAATATGAATGGAATGATAAATTACAAGAAGAGACTCATCATATTTTGTACATTTTAGATAGGATTATTCGGCAAACTTTTGGGCTGACGTCATCAATTTTTTGGAGGGGATAAGCAAATATATTTTGACTAAAAATTTATTATGCTCTTTATAACCTTAAAACATTTGCAAAATCTCAAAGCATTCGGTTCTGTAGTTCCTGATTAAATAAAAAAAATAAATTCACGCATCCATTAATTTTTTTGGGTCACCCTGTATATGCAAATCCAAAAAATATGAATGGAATGATAAATCACAAGAAGAGACTCATCATATTTTGTACATTTTAGATAGGATTTATTCAGTAAAATTTTGGGGTGACGTCATCAATTTTTTTGAGGGGATAACTAAATATGTTGTGATTAAAATTTTATCATGCTCATCATAACTGTAAACCATCTGCAAGATTTCAAAGCATTCGGTTTTATATATTTCAAATTAAATGTCAAAATGTTGTTTCCTAATTTTGATTTTTCTTTCCAAAAATCTGGACGTTTCCGGTAAAAACTCAATTCGGGGTCATAAACTACATGTGTAAGACTGTGATATTTGATACAGTTTAAAACCCAATTACTATGTACAATTTTGAAGTCACAAAATGGAAAAATCAATAAAGTGAAGTCGAAAAATAGAAACCTTAAAAAATCGAAACATTGAAAAATCAAAAACCTGAAAAATCAAAAAATTAAAGAACTGAAGAACAGGAAAATCGAAACACTCGAAGGTCAAGAAATGGGAAAATCAAAACATCGATTAAATTGAAAAATCGAAAAATTGAGAGTTTATGAAAGTCAAATTTGAAAAATTAAAAATCGAAAATTTGACAAAATGACAATTGAAAAACAGAAAATCTAAAACCGGGAAGTCGAAAAATCAAAAAATTAAGAAATCGAAACATTTGAAAAATTCGGAAACTTGAAAAATTCAAATATTGAAGAACTGAACTAAAAAATCGAGAAATCGAAAAATCTAAAATTTTAAAAATCTAAAAATTGAAAAAGTAAAATTCGACACATCGAAAAATCCAGGAGTCAAAAATCGAAAAGTCGAATCGAAATATTGAAAAATCCCAAAACTGAGATATCCAAGAACTGAAAAATGAAAGAAAAACTAAAAAATGGAAAACCTGAAAAATCCGAAAACTAATATCAAAAAACTGAGAACCTAACAAGTCGAAAAATTGAGCAATTGAAAACCTTAAAAAAACTAAAAAATGAAAGTCAAGAAATGGGAAAATCAAAACATCGATTAATTGAAAAATCAAAAATTGACAGTTTATAAATGTCAAATTTGAAAAATTGAAAAATCGAAAATTTGAAAAAACGACAATTGAAAGACAGAAAATCTAAAACCGGGAAGTCGAAAAATCGATAGATTAATAAGAAATCAAAACATTTGAAAAATTCGAAAACATGAAAAACGGAAATAACGAAGAACTGAAATGAAAAATCAAGAACGAAAAATCTAAAATTTTAAACATTGAAAAATTAAAACATCACAAAACTGAAAAATCTAAAATTTAAAATTCGAAAAATTGAAAAAAACGACAATTGAAAAACAGAAAATCTAAAACCGGGAAGTCGAAAAATCGAACGATTAAGAAATAGAAACATTTGAAAAATTGAAAAATGGAAGAGCTGAAATGAAAAATCGAGAACTCGAAAAATCTAAAATTTTAAATATTGAATAATTAAAATACCAAAAAATTCAGGAATCTAAAATTTAAAAATCGAAAATGTAAAAAGTCGACGCATCGAAAAATCCAGAAGTCCTAAAACTGAAATATGGAAAAACTGAAAAATTAAAGAAAAACTGACGAAACGAAAAACTGAAAAATCCCAAAACTGAAATATCCAAAAACTGAGAACCTAAAGAATCGAAAAATTGAGAAATCGAAAAATCAAAGAAGTGAAGTCGAAACATAGAAACCTTAAAAAATTCAAAAATTGAAAAATCAAAAACCTGAAAAATCAAAAAATTAAAGAACTGAAGAACAGGAAAATCGAAACACTCGAAGGTCAAGAAATGGGAAAATCAAAACATCGATTAATTGAAAAATCGAAAAATTGAGAGTTTATGAAAATCAAATTTGAAAATTAAAAATTCGAAAATTTGACAAAATGACAATTGAAAAACAGAAAATCTAAAACAGGGAAGTCGAAAAATCTAAAGATTAAGAAATCGAAACATTTGAAAAATTCGAAAAACTTGAAAAATTCAAATATCGAAAAACTGAACTGAAAAATCGAGAAATCGAAAAATCTAAAATTTTAAAAATTAAAAAATCCAAAATTTAAAAATCGAAAAATTGAAAAATCGAAAAAGTAAAATAATCGACACATCGAAAAATCCAGAAGTCAAAAATCGAAAAGTCGAAGAATCGAAATATTGAAAAATCCCAAAACTGAGATATTCAAAACCTGAAAAATGAAAGAAAAACTGAAAAATGGAAAACCTGAAAAATCCGAACACTGTAATATGTATCAAAAAAGTAAGGAAAAAGTGAAGTCGAAAAATCAAAACCTTAAAAAACTAAAAAATGAAAAATCGAAAAATTAAAAAAATTGAAAAACAGGAATATCGAAACCCTCGAAAAGAAATGGGAAAATCAAAACATCGACAGTTCATAAATAATGTCAAATTTGAAAAATTGAAAAATCGAAAATTTGAAAAAACGATAATTGAAAAACAGAAAATCTAAAACCGGGAAGTCGAAAAATCGATAGATTAAGAAATCAAAACATTTGAAGAATTCGAAAACATGAAAAACGGAAACATCGAAGAACTGAAATGAAAAATCAAGAAATCGAAAAATCTAAAATTTTAAATATTGAAAAATTAAAATATCAAATAACTGAAAAATCTAAAATTTAAAAATCGAAAAATCAAAAGATCAGGAAATCGTGGAGTCGAGAAGTCGAACAATTGAGAAACCGAAATAGGCCAAAATCGAAAACTCGAAGAGTTAAAAATTGAACAATTTATAAATTGAGAAATTGACAATCAAAATATCGAAAAGTCCAAATCTTGATAAATCGAGAAATCAAAAAACTTAAAAATTCGAAAAACTGAGAGATTGAAAGATCAAAAGAACGAGAAATCGAAAAGTGATGAAGTCGAAAAATCGAAAAATAGAGAAATCGACAAACAGAAAGTTAAAAGTTGAAAAATTGGAAAAGCGGAAAAGAGCATCTAAAACCCGGAAGTCGAAAAATCGAAAGATTAAGAAATATTGAAAAATTAAAATATCAAAAGACTGAAAAATCTAAAATTTAAAAATTCAAAAATTGAAAAATCGAAAAAGTAGAAAGGTAGACACATCGAAAAATCCAGAAGTCAAAAATAGAAAAGCCGAAGAATTGAAATATTGAAAAATCCTAAAACTGAAATATCTAAAAACTGAAAAATCGAAAAATCAAAAACCTGAAAAATAAAAAAATTAAAGAACTGAAGAACAGTAAAATCGAAACACTCGAAGGTCAAGAAATGGGAAAATCAAAACATCCATTAATTGAAAAATCGAAAAATTGAGAGTTTATGAAAGTCAAATTTGAAAAATTAAAAGTCGAAAATTTGACAAAATGACAATTGAAAAACAGAAAATCTAAAACCGGGAAGTCGAAAAATCAAAAGATTAAGAAATCGAAACATTTGAAAAATTCGAAAACTTGAAAAATTTAAATACCGAAGAACTGAACTGAAAAATTGAGAAATCGAAAAATCTGAAATTTTAAAAATTAAAATATCTAAAACTGAAAAATTGAAAAAGTAAAATTATCGACACATCGAAAAATCCAGGAGTCAAAAATCGAAAAGTCGAAGAATCGAAGTATTGAAAAATCCCAAACACTGAGATATCCAAAAACTGAAAAATGAAAGAAAAACTGAAACATGGAAAACGTGAAAAATCCGAAAACTGTAATATCCAAAAACTGAGAACCTAAACTACATGTGTAAGACTATGATATTACTATATTGAAGTGACGTCATCACATTAGTGGTGAGGATGATTAGACAAATTTTGGTTAGCGTTTTACCATCTACATGATATGCCTAATATAAATACAAAATTGGCAACAAAACAGTACTTTCGAAGATTATCTATCTAATAAAAATCCGGGACGGCAGACAGACGGACAGACGGACAGACAGACGGAAACGAGAGACCTATTTATTCGTCTTCTAGGGGTCATGAAAGATCGAGAAAATGTAAAAGTAGAGAGTCGGCCGACGGACTTGATTACAATACTTCCTTTGCTCGGGAAGTAAAAATGAAAAATTGAAAAACCAAAAAATCGAAACATCAAAAAGTCGAAAAATTTAAAAATCGGAAAATTGATGAATCGAAAAACTGACCAATCGGGAAATTGAAAAATTCTAAAATTGAAATGACAAAAAATTGGGAATTCGAAAAACTGAAAAATCGAAAAGCCGAAAAATTGAAGAATCGAAAAATTTAAATTTTGAAAAATCTGAAATTTAGAAATCGAAAAAACAAAAAAAATGAATAATTGAAAAACCGATATATTGAAAAATTCCAAAACTGAAATGACGAAGAATTGGGAATTGGAAAAACTGAAAAATCGGAACATCAAAAAATTAGAAAACCAAAAAAAATCGAAAATCCGAAAAGTCGAAAAATCGAGAAATTGAAAAATTAAAATATCGAGAAATCGATAAACCGAAAAATTGAAATACCAAAAATTCGAAATCCGAAAAGTCGAAAATCGAAAGATCGAGCAATCGGAACATCAAAAAATCGAAAAATTCAGAAACTGTAAAACTTAAAATTTAAATTTTCGATTTCTCACTATCTCGATTTCATATTGTCCGCACTTGTACCGACCGCGTCGCCTTGGAATTTGCGGGATTTGTTGGGCTGAACTTCAGGAGCAAGGGAAGTTCTGTCCAAATAACCTTCGCGCATTTTTGGGTATTTTTAATTTTTAGACTTTTTTCTCACAATCTTTTCTCACATAACGTATTTCGTTGCAATTTTAACAATATCTGATATTGATTTAATGATTACAGTATGATTTATGACTAGTGTAATTTGTGATTGTTTCCGCGGATATTGCTTAATGATTACGTACTAAAGTTACCAGTAAATCAAATTGGATTTGAAATTCCGTGGATTTGCCGCCTTTTTACCGTCCCAAATATCCAAATAATTTAATTTTGGAATCCACCACTACCACCACGGTTTGTAAAACCAAATTTAGCATCAACATTTGTTACTTTGTGAGTTCAGAGGGTTAATTCATCCAATTTAAATAATACCTCATTCAAAAACCTTATCTAACTTTTAATCTCGAAATATAAATGACCCAACACCGTCTACTTTGTCCCATGAATCACACCTCAAAATCCACTTACCCTATCAAAAATGCTCCTAAAATACTGCACAGTGGGCAACGTGGGGGTGTCGATCTGGTTCAACGGAATATTAACCTCGTCATCCCTTTCCATCTTTGAAGACATCCTGAGTTTCAATTTCCCTCCGTTCACATTCAAACCTCACACACTATTAACTGCATTAATGCTTTATCGATAAATTATTTATCTCTTACCTCACACACTATTAACCGCATTATCGATAAGTTATCTCTTTATTACCACGAAAAGCGGGCCAATTTTAAAAATGCCGTCATCGCTGCTTTCTCCAAATCCTCGTCTTCGCCTCTTCTTCAAAAAATCGCGTTTTTCGGGTATGTAAGATTAAAAAATCTAAAATTTAAAAACCGAAAACGAAAAATCGAGAAATCGAAACTCCCAAATTTAAAAAATCGGATAACTGGAAAATCGAAACATCGAAAAACCGAGAAATCGAAAAATGAAAAGATCAAGAAATCGTGGAGTCGAAAAGTCGAACAATTGAGAAACCGAAATAGGCCAAAATCGAAAACTCGAAGAGTTAAAAATTGAACAATTTATAAATTGAGAAATTGACAATCAAAATATCGAAAAATCCAAATCTCGATAAATCGAGAAATCAAAAAACTTAAAAATTCGAAAAACTGAAAAATTGAGAGATTGAAAGATCAAAAGAACGAGAAATCGACAAACAAAAAGTTAAAAGTTGAAAAAGTCGGAAAATTCAAAAAACGAAAAACTGGAAAACTGGAAAAACTGAGAAACCGAAATAGGCCAAAATAAAAAATTGAAAAACTGATAAATCGAAGACCTGAACAATCAAATCTCGATAAATCGGGAATGAAAAATTAACAAATCGAAAAGTTGACAAACAGAACATCTAAAACCCGGAAGTCGAAAAATCGAAAGATTTAAGAAATATTGAAAAATTAAGATAAAAAAAGACTGAAAAATCTAAAATTTAAAAATCCAAAAATTGAAAAATCGAAAAAGTAAAAAGGTAGACACATTGAAGAATTGAAATATTGAAAAATCCTAAAATTGAAATATTTAAAAATTGAAAAATCGGAAAATCAAAAAAGTGGAGTCGAAAAATGGTAAAATAAAAAATTTTAAAATTGGAAAATCAAAAATCTGAAAAATCAAAAAATTAAAGAACTGAAGAACAGGAAAATCTAAACACTCGAAAGTCAAGAAATGGTAAAATCAAAACATCGATTAACTGAAAAATCGAAAAATTGGGAGTTTATGAAAATCAAATTTGGAAAATTAAAAAATCGAAAATTTGACAAAATGACAATTGAAAAACAGCAAATCTAAAACCGGGAGGTAGAAAAATCAAAAGATTAAGAAATCGAAACATTTGAAAAATTCGAAAAATTGAAAAATTTAAATATCGAAGAACTGAACTGAAAAATTGAGAAATCGAAAAATCTAAAATTTTAAAAATTAAAATATCTAAAATTGAAAAATTAAAAAATAAAACAATCGACTCATCGAAAAATCCAGGAGTCAAAAATCGAAAAGTCGAATAGAAATATTGAAAAATCCTAAAACTGTAATATCAAAAAAGTGAGAACCTAAAAAGTCGAAAAATTGAGCAATCGAAAAATCCGAAAAGTGAAGTCCAAAAATCAAAACCTTAAAAAAACTAAAACATGACAAATCGAAAAATTAAAAAAATTGAAAAACAGGAATATCGAAACCCTCGAAAAGAAATGGGAAAATCAAAACATCGACAGTTCATAAATAATGTCAAATTTGAAAAAGAAAATTCGAAAATTTGAAAAAACGACAATTGAAAAACAGAAAATCTAAAACCGGGAAGTCGAAAAATCGATAGATTAAGAAATCAAAACATTTGAAGAATTGAACAATTTATAAATTGAGAAATTGACAATCAAAATATCGAAAAGTCCAAATCTTGATAAATCGAGAAATCAAAAAACTTAAAAATTCGAAAAACTGAGAGATTGAAAGATCAAAACAACGAGAAATCGAAAAGTGATGAAGTCGAAAAATCGAAAAATAGAGAAATCGACAAACAGAAAGTTAAAAGTTGAAAAATTGGAAAAGCGGAAAAGAATATCTAAAACCTGGAAGTCGAAAAATCGAAAGATTAAGAAATATTGAAAAATTAAAATTTCAAAAGACTGAAAAATCTAAAATTTAAAAATCCAAAAACTGAAAAATCAAAAAAGTAAAAAGGTAGACTCATTAAAAAATCCAGAAGTCAAAAATAGAAAAGCCGAAGAATTGAAATATTGAAAAATCCTAAAACTGAAATATGTAAAATCTGAAAAATCGAAAAATCAAAAAAGTGAAGTCGAAAAATAGAAACCTTAAAAAATCGAAAAATTGAAAAATCAAAAACTTGAAAAATCACGACGAACAGGAAAATCGAAACACTCGAAGGTCAAGAAATGGGAAAATTAAAACATCGATTAACTGAAAAATCGAAAAATTGAGAGTTTATGAAAATCAAATTTGGAAAATTAAAAATTCGAAAATTTGACAAAATGACAATTGAAAAACAGAAAATTTAAAACCGGGCAGTCGAAAAATCAAAAGATTAAGAAATCGAAACATTTGAAAAATTCGAAAACTTGAAAAATTCAAATATCGAAGAACTGAACTGAAAATTCGAAAAATCGAAAAATCTAAAATTTTAAAAATTAAAATATCTAAAATTGAAAAATTGAAAAAGTAAAATAATCGACACATCGAAAAATCCAGGAGTCAAAAATCGAAAAGTCGAATCGAAATATTGAAAAATCCCAAAACTGAGATATCTAAAAACTGAAAAATGAAAGAAAAACTGAAAAATGGAAAACCTGAAAAATCCGAAAACTGTAATATCAAAAAATTGAGAACCTAAAAAGTCGAAAAATTGAGCAATCGAAAAATCCGAAACAAGTGAAGCCGAAAAATCGAAACCTTAAAAAAACTAAAAAATGAAAGTCAAGAAATGGGAAAATCAAAACTTCGATTAATTGAAAAATCAAAAATTGACAGTTCATAAATGTCAAATTTGAAAAATTGAAAAATCGAAAATCTGAATTTGAAAACACGACAATTGAAAAGCAGAAAATCTAAAACCGGGAAGTCGAAAAATCGATTGATTAAGAAATCAAAACATTTGAAAAATTCGAAAACTTGAAAAACTGAAATATCGAAGAACTGAAATGAAAAATCGAGAAATCGAAAAATCTGAAATTTTAAATATTGAAAAATTAAAATATCAAAAAACTGAAAAATCTAAAATTAAGAAATCGAAAATTTGACTAAATGACGATTGAAAAACAGAAAATCTAAAACCGGGAAGTCGAAAAATCAAAAGATTAAGCAATCAAAAAATTGAAAAATCGAAAATGTAAAAAAATCGACACATCGAAAATTCCAAATGCCAAAAATCGAAAAGTCGAAAAATCAAAATATAGAAAAATCCCAGAACTGAAATATCGAAAAACTGAAAAATGGAAAACCTGAAAAATCCGAAAACTGAAATATCCAAAAAACTGAAAACCTAAAAAGTCGAAAAACTGAGCAATAGAGAAATCCAAAAAGTGAAGTCGAAAAATTGAAACTTTAAAAAAATTCAAAAAAAAAATCAAAAACCTGAAAAATCGAAAAACTAAAGAATTGAAGAACAGGAATATCGAAACCCTCGAAAGTCAAGAAATTGGAAAATCAAAACATTGATTTATTGAAAAATCGAAAAATCCATAGATTAATAAGAAATCAAAACATTTGAAAAATTGGAAAACATGAAGTTGCAATCAAGATGCCGGACGACGAGGATGCAAATCCAGTCGATCCGCTAAAAAGTTTACATTGTAAAATCTGTAAATGCTATATAGCTAAAAACGCGCCGAAAATTAGATGTAATGCCAAAAGTTGTTCGACATATGTTCATGTGAAATGTTTTGAAAATCTGAATAACATCATTATCATCGACAAAAACAGTTGGGTTTGTAAATTATGCAATCCGAATCAGTATGGTGCTAGTGCTATAGTGATGTAAGTGGTGCCCAGATCAGTGCTGATGTGCAAGATAAAGTGAAATTGTTAGAAGAATTAGTCCGAGAGCTACAAAACGTTAATAATCTGCAAAGAGAAAAAATTGCCAATCTTGAAAAAGCGAATTCCTTATCTACAATGCCAGCATTGTCGCGTTCATATAGTGAGGTGGCAAAAAATCAATCGTGTGATATTTTAGTTAAACATCCAAGTGGGTCATCTGCAAGTCAGGAAGGTAAAAATGACGTCCTTAATAATATTAGAAGTCAGGTGGATCCTGCGGCTCTGAACGCCCGTGTGGAGTCTACGAAAATTGTAAAATCGGGGTTGATTATAAAGTGTGCTGATGATGAGTCCCGCAGCGTGCTGATGCAAGAGCTTAAATCTACGTTGGGTGAAGCTTATTCTGTTGAGAAGAGCAAAAAGTGGAGTCCGCGTGTTATAATTAAAGGTATTGATTTAGATTTCTTTGAATATGATGATGCAAGATTGATCAGAAAAATAGTAACATCTAATGAGCTTGATGAAACCCTTATTACCAGTGATGTTAAAATTATAACTAGGATAAAATTTAAAAAAAGTTTTAATGTTGTAATACAAGTAAGCTATCAAGTTCGTAATATCTTAGTGAGTAAGGGTAAAGTTTTTGTAGGTTGGCGTTCATGTAAATGTAATGATAACTTTAGGATACTAAAATGTTTTAAATGCCTAAGATATGGACATATGAGTCGTGATTGTAAAAATGAGGAGTCAGTATGTTACAAGTGCTCTCTAAGTCATGAAGCTAAACAGTGTACTAGTGAGTCTTATAAATGTATCAACTGCGCTGAGTATAATTTAAAAAACAAAAATTCATTAATTTCGACACAACATGTATGCGGGGACAAGCAGCAGTGCGCTATGTACAAGAAGCAGCTTAATATATTAATATCTAAAATTGACTATGGCCAGTAGCTCAAATAAAAATAATTCTAAGCTAATGAGTATAGCTCATTTGAATGTACGTTCCGTGTTTACAGGATTTACTGAATTTCAGAATTTAATATATTCCAATGACTTTGATGTGGTAGCGGTGACGGAGACTTGGCTTTCTAATCATATACCTTCTTCAGTGGTCAATATGGATAATTATAAACTATATTTTTAATATTCACTGTTAAATTATTGTGTGAATTATATATTTTTGTTGTGGTTATTACATATTTATATTATTATTTTCTTCCTAGATATTGCATCTCTAAGTTAATTTTATTATTTTATTGTTTTTGCATTTAATATTTATTTTGTAAGGTTGAGTGGAATAGCCTATGGCTAGACTTCGCCTAATCATGTATCATTTTATCATGAATAAAGTCCTATGTATGTATGTATGTATGTATGTAAAAACGGAAATATCGAAGAACTGAAATGAAAAATCAAGAACGAAAACTCCTAAAATTTTAAATATTGAAAAATTAAAATATCAAAAAACTGAAAAATCTAAAATTTAAAATTCGAAAAATTGAAAAAAAACGACAATTGAAAAACAGAAAATCTAAAACCGGGAAGTCGAAAAATCGAAAGATTAAGAAATCGAAACATTTAAAAAATTGAAATATGGAAGAGCTGAAATGAAAAATCGAGAAATCGAAAAATCTAAAATTTTAAATATTGAATAATTAAAATACCAAAAAATTCAGAAATCTAAAATTTAAAAATCGAAAATGTAAGAAGTCGACACATCGTAAAATCCAGAAGTCCTAAAACTGAAATATGGAAAAACTGAAAAATGAAAGAAAAACTGACGAAACGAAAAACTGAAAAATCCCAAAACTGAAATATCCAAACACTGAGAACCTAAAGAATCGAAAAACTGAGAAATCGAAAAATCAAAAAAGTGAAGTCGAAAAATAGAAACCTTAAAAAATTGAAAAATAAAATACCTGAAAAATCAAAAAATTAAAGAACTGAAGAACAGGAAAATCGAAACACTCGAAGGTCAAGAAATGGGAAAATCAAAACATCGATTAACGGAAAAATCAAAAAATTGAGAGTTTATGAAAGTCAAATTTGGAAAATTAAAAAATCGAAAATTTGACAAAATGACAATTGAAAAACAGAAAATCTAAAACCGGGAAGTCGAAAAATCAAAAGATTAAGAAATCGAAACATTTGAAAAATTCGAAAACTTGAAAAATTCAAACATCGAAGAACTGAACTGAAAAATTGAGAAATCGAAAAATCTAAAATTTTAAAAATTAAAAGATCTAAAATTTAAAAATCCAACAATTGAAAAATCGAAAAAGTAAAATAATCGGCACATCGAAAAATCTAGGAGTCAAAAATCGAAAAGTCGAAGAGTCGAAATATTGAAAAATCCCAAAACTGAGATATTCAAAAACTGAAAAATGAAAGAAAAACTGAAAAATGGAAAACCTGAAAAATCCGAAAACTGTAATATCAAAAAACTGAGAACCTAAAAAGTCGAAAAATTGAGTAATTGAAAAATCCGAAAAGTGAAGTCGAAAAATTGAAAAGTTAAAAAATTGAAAAACAGGAATATCGAAATCCTCGAAAGTCAAGAAATGGGAAAATCAAAACATCGATTAATTGAAAAATAAAATATTGACAGTAAATAAATGTCAAATTTGAAAAATTGAAAAATCGAAAATTTGATAAAACGACAATTGAAAAACAGAAAATCTAAAACCGGGAAGTCGAAAAATCGATAGATTAAGAAATCATCACATTTGAAGAATTCGAAAACATGAAAAACGGAAATATCGAAGAACTGAAATGAAAAATCAAGAAATCGGAAAATCTAAAATTTTAAATATTGAAAAATTAAAATACCAAAAAATTGAGGAATCAAAAATTTAAAAATCGAAAAAGTAAGAATTTGACATATCGAAAAATCCAGAAGTCAAAATGGAAAAGTCGAAGAACAGAAGTATTGGAAAATCCCAAAACTGAAATATCGAAAAACTGAAAAATGAAAGAAAAACTGACGAATCGAAAAACTGAAAAATCCCAAAACTGAGAACCTAAAGAATCGAAAAATTGAGAAATTGAAAAATCTAAAAAGTGAAGTCGAAAAATCGAAACGTTAAAAAAACTAAAAAATGAAAAATCGAAGAAATAAAAAATTGAAAAACAAGAATATCGAAACCCTCGAAAGTCAAGAAATGGGAAAATCAAAACATCAATTAATTGAAAAATCAAAAATTGACAGTTTATAAATGTCAAATTTGAAAAATTGAAAAATCGAAAATTTGAAAAAACGACATTTGAAAAACAGAAAACCTAAAACCGGGAAGTCGAAAAATTGAAAGATGAAGAAATCGAAACATTTGAACAATTGAAATATGGAAGAGTTGAAATGAAAAATCGAAAAATCGAAAAATCTAAAATTTCAAATATTGAAAAATTAAAATACCAAAAAATTGAGGAATCTAAAATTTAAAAATCGAAAATGTAAGAAGTCGACACATCGAAAAATCCAGAAGTCAAAAATGGAAAAGTCGAAGAACAGAAATATTGAAAAATCCCAAAACTGAAATACGGAAAAACTGAAAAATGAAAGAAAAACTGACGAATCGAAAAACTGAAAAATCCCAAAACTGAAATATCCAAAAACTGAGAACCTAAAGAATCGAACAATAGAAAAATCAAAAACCTGCAAAATCGTAAGATCGAAAAATTGAATAATAAGTACACTGACAAATCCCAAAACTGAAATGTCCAAAAACTGAGAAATTAAAAAATTGAAAAATTGAGAAATCGAAAAATCAAAAAAGTGAAGTTAAAAAATCGAAACCTGAAAAAATAGAAAAATTGAAAAACCAAAAAACCTGAAAAATCAATTAATTGAAAAATCGACAAATAAAGGGTTTATAAAAGCCAAAAATTGAAAAATCGAAAAATTTAAAAATCGTAAAATTGAAGAGAAAAACTGAAAACCGAGAAATTGAAAAATTGAGAAATTGTAAAATCCAAAAATTGAAAAATAAATAGAAGTAAACTGAAAAGTCCCCAAACTAAAATTTCGAAAAACTGAGAATTCGAAACTTGAAACAGCAGAAATTATGGTCGAAACCGGTTAGGATGTATATCAGATCACAGATCGTGGCTTATAAATCAAATCGTTTCCGAACGCTTAGAGTCGACATTGGCCTGAGTGCGCTCTGGTCTGTAGATCAAACAAGTTCTCAGACCACGAACTGTAATTCGTGTGGCCTGAATTAAAGTGAAGGAAACAGTAAGCAGCTTGTAATATTCTGGTAAATCTAGTGTCAATTTGTCGAAAGTACAACGCGTCGATATTTTATTCCTAGTTAGAAACAAACACTGTTGCCAACACAAGTCGAGGACTTCCTCCTTACATCTACTAAAGCAAATTTGATTTCGATAACCGTCAATTGTTGATTATCTCGATTTTTAAACCCTTCTGCAAAATCGATCACCGCTTGTTGAACAAATAAAGCTTCATTAGTTCTTGAAGAGGTTATAACAGAGAACATAGAGAAGCGACATAGAGGCTGATTTTGCAAAACCACCCTTATTGACATTGGAGTCTTCAACCACCAAAGGCAAGCTCCAAATTTAAATAGTCGATGCCAATAAAACCTTGCTTCACTATAATTGTAATTCGTGTAACCTGAATGAAAGTGAAGGAAACAGTAAGCAGCTTGTAATATTCTGGTAAATCTAGTGTCAATTTGTCGAAAATAAAACTCGTCCTTAAAAATATTATGACATTTCTTCTAGTTACTTTTATGCCTAGTTATTGAGAAGTCCTCAACCGTCATTTAATTTAAACTATGGTGCTTCTCTATGTTCTCTGGTTATAATATAACTATTGAAACTAAAATACACAAACGATGTCTTCCTCAAGGACCGATTTCATTTTTTGAATATATTAATGATACACCGTAATTAATCTGAACTCTCTTTTACTGTTGCGGACGACCTCAAAACTACTTATTCCTTTACTGCGCCAATGAAATTAAAACACAATTTTGTAAATTTTTATTAAAAAAAAAAACGTAAAAAAACAATTTAAGTTTGTTTGGGGAAATAACCAGTGTAGAAAGTGTTCCAACAGATTCCGACCAACATCAATATCACATAAACAGCCACGGCAATCCACCACATCACGTTCTCTTTCTTCGTCAGCTTCAAGTTCTTCAAAGCAACTATACCGACCAGGAGACCCGCCACAGCCCCGGCAAAATGCGCAACGTATCCTATATGTTCCTCCATATTGGCCCAGTAGCGATTATAGATGGAAGTACCGACGTCAACGCCGGTTATAAGAAGGAAAATGATGAGTTGGACTGCTGGGAAGCTCATTTCTGACCAGTTCTGCAAGAACACAAACGAAAACTAGTTATAACATATAAGAGAGTTGTTTTTTTATTAGAAAAAAGTCGTCTCGTGTTATGTTGGCAACACTACCGGGTTTGTTTAGTTTGACAGTTAAAATCCACAGCCTACTAGGCGATTTTTTTGATCTTATAGTTTTACCATGATTATAGTGGCAATGTGCGCCGTGATAAGAGAGTAGACGCCGCCACTGGCCCCCGCCAACTTAGACGTCGGATCCGTGATAGAAGTCCCCAACGACCCAGCCACCACCCCCGCGAAGTAAATCACCAGAACCCTCCACCACCCATGGACCATTTCCAGCGGAATCCCAATGAAGATTTGTACTATCAAGTTGACCACCAGATGGAGATGCCTTCAAGCAAAAATCAGCCAACTTGACAACACCAAAAACGACTAAAACTCACCCTATATGCACGAACATGTAAGTCAAAAACCTCCAAAACTCGTATCTCTTCGCCGGGTCGTAAATAAACAACATCGCCATGGGCCCCGCCGCATACTTCGTGGAATTGGCCTCCTTGGCCTCATCAATACAGAAAAAAATTATCTCGATGACCGAAATAATGATCATCCCGAGTCTGGGGGGGCAACACGAATATTCGTCTTCGTACAGAGTTTGCAGATCTGGTTCGTCGTCCCATACTCCTAGCTTCTTTCGGGGGACCACGAAATTCACGTACTTGGTCACGTATCGGCCGAAAATCGAGCGAAATTTCGGGTCGTTGACCATGTTTACGAATTCGATGTAGTTTAGGCGGCCGTCGTGGTCGGCGTCGGCGATCTGGTGGATTTTGCGGACCACATGGGACGGGATGGGATCTTCGGTTAGGCTGTTTCTGCGAATCATGGTCTGGAGCTCCTGGATTGTGATGAATCCATCGTGGTCGATGTCGGCCTGTAAAGAAAAAAGAGGGATTTTTAAATTTGAACTAGTTGGGGTTTTTGGTGACTAGTGTTGGCATTAACCGTAACTGTCAAAATCATAGCCTACTCTACCTTTGAACTCGCCAAAACTCGAACTAAAAACTTCAGTGGCGTTTATTTATGTGTCTATTCAACGACGATTTTCGCTTAGATTTGAACACACATTGTTGACACTCGTACCACTGAACGTCCCCTTCGTCCAAATGAAGCGCATTTATGTGCTGCTTTAACGGAGTACTTAGTTTGGACTTGTAGGGACACTTGTCGCATTTGTACCACTTGACATCCTCTTCACCCAAATGTCGCACTTTGATGTGTCTTTTCAAAGTCGAGTTGTCTTTAGCTTTGTAAGGACACTTTCCACACTTATACCACTTGATGTCCCCTTCGTTCAAATGTCGCGCATTTATGTGCATTTTCAAATTACCTAAACGTTTAGTTTTGTATGGACACATTCCACACTTGTACCACCTCATGAACCTCCTATCCACACAAAGACCCTTCAAGTCAGACCTTCGTTTAACCTTGTATGGACACTTCACACAGTGATACCAAATGCTGTCGTTGTCACTCAAGTGTTTGAAAATTTTGTGCTTCCTGCAGTTTGTTTCAGTGTTTTTTGGACACTGAGTGACATGTTGGAGCCACTTTAGTGAAAAATAAGTGTCAAAGTTGCACACTTGACAAACATAATTGTTGAGGGCATTGTCCCCCTTCGGGGGACCATTTTGACTGTCTTGTTTAATATCGTGGCACTTTAGATGTTGTTGGAATAGAAATATTAGTCGAGTTTGGAAGGTGCACTCTCTGCAAGTGTAAGCTTCAAGGTTAGAATTTGTGCAGTCGAAAAGTGACAACCGGTGCACGTTTTTTACGGGGGCGCAGGTCCTAGAAAAGTCTGAGTGTTGCAGCGGCAGCATTTAGCCCGTCTAAAAGTCAAGGGGGCGTTTTTATATTAGTATTGAATCGAGTTTTTCTCACCTGTCACTTTTGGGTTAACATAACCTCATTTTTTTTTAATCACGACTTTTGTTTGCTAATAAAGTTGTTATATTGTTGTAATATCAGTTTTTCGTTTAAAACTTTACAACCTACCACGTGGTACCCCACTGATAACAAAAATAATAGTTTTCTTATGATTAAGAAACACCCATTTAATGATGTATGCAACACACAATACACACATGTATTCACAACAATCTACACCGCATGCTTATTCTTTACGTGCTTTTTCAAAGTCGAATACTGTTTACCTTTATACGGACATTGTTTACATTCATACCATTTAATATCGCCGTCTTTTAAATGATACGCGTTTACGTGATTCTTCAAACAAATCTTATTTTTCGTTTTAAATGGGCACTTTTCGCATTCGTACCACGTGACTTCCGGGCCGTCCAAATGGTGGGTGTTTATGTGGACTTTCAAACTATAGCTAGCTTTAGCTTTGTATGGGCACTTGTCGCACTTGTACCATTTCATGTCCTTTTCGTCCACGTGGTGTCGAGACACGTGGCGCTTCAAAGTCGACGCTAACTTAGTTTTAAATTGGCAGTCTTGGCACTGGTGCCACTTAATATCGCCTTCGTCCAAATGCCTCAGACTTACGTGTCTTTTCAAAGTTGAGTTGTCTTTGGCTCTGTAGTCGCACTTCTGGCATTCGTGCCATTTAATGTCGTGCTCGGCCAAATGCCGCACTCGTATGTGTCTGCTTAAAATGAAAAAGTCTTTAGCTTTGTAGGGGCACTTCTGGCATTCGTGCCACTTAATCTCTTGTTCGTTTAAATGGCGCAGTTTCACGTGTCGTTGCAGAGAAAAATTGTCTTTAGCTCGGTGTGGGCAGTGGTCGCATTCGAACCACTTAACGTCTTTTTCGCACAAGTGTACGTTGATGTGTCTGTTTAAAGTCGACTTTTTTTTACACTTGTAGCGACACAACTTACACTGGTGCCATTTAACACTTAAGTCGTTCGAATGGTGAAACTTAGCCTCGCACTTTTGTCTACTTTTAAATGTACACTGTTTGCATTTGTACCACCGGTGCCCGCTTTTATCCACACTGTGTACACTCATATGCCGCCTTAAGCGCCGTTTCAGTTTAGATTTGTATTCACAGTTGGCACAGTGGTGCCAACGCACCTCATCGTCGTTCAAATGTTTAAGCATTTTGTGCTCCTTCAAGTAGTGTTTATACTTGGTCATAAAATCGCACTGGTCGCACTTGTATAAAGTAAAAACGTTCAACAGATCTTTGTCGGTGTTCCAGATTTCAACCATTGTCAAACACGTTGTCGTGTGTTGGAGCCATTTCAACGAAAAACACGTTTCGAAGTCGCACTTTTCGCAAACGTATTTCTGGATTGTGAATTCGTCGGTCGGTACAGTCGCTGCGTGTTCCTGGAGGTGTTGTTTGAACACTAGGGTCAATTGTGTCTGAAAATTGCAGTCTTTGCAGTGGTAGGTTTCGATGTCGGTGTTTTCACAGTTGAAACTTGGTGGTAGTGGGTGGCGTTTGAAAAAGGATGTAAAATAGGGGCACGCTTTTTTGGGGGTGGAAAATGCCTCTGCGTATTCCAGAATTGACATTTTGATTGTCTAGTAGAGATTGATAGAACTGTAAAATTAAATACAATGTTTGCTTTGGGTGGTTGTTACTCTAACCTCAAACTTTTCACTTTTGAATTCAGTTATGAATTCACTAGCTGTAATTAGTTAGTGCATTTTTAAGCGATGTTTGAGTGGTTTTGGGTGAAATTGTACAAAATGGTTCGAATTTTGGTATTTGTAAATATACCACAAACAATGACAGCCAGGGTTGCCGCCACATACTCGCACGAAAATTCCCCAATTCTTGTCAAAGAGGTTCAATTTTTGGCTTGTTTTTTACTTTGAACACGATACTCAAAAACATGTTTTTTATTTATTGTAGGGAAATAAGGATTTTGCAATTAAGCTCCGTCCCTTTGGCTCACGACGAATAAAAAAATCATCACAATTGTGATACAGTGTGCTTACATTTTGCTTTTTTTTCTTCTTAATATACGTATCTTTTCACAACAAGAAACTTAGAACATTATGGGGTGGAGCCTAACTGCAAAATCGATATTTCCTTATACAAATTTAACATTTTAAACATGTTTTAAGTTTCATGTTGTTAAAAGAAGTCTACACATATTAAGAAAACAAGGCAAAATGTAGCCCGGCCCACCCACCCTATCTCAATTGTGATGATTTTTTTTATTCGCCTTGAATCAAGAGGGCAAAATAGTTATTTCTTTCCAAGAAATTAAAAACATGCTTTTCAGTATTGTGTTGTTCAAAAAGTACTAGAATTAAGACAAAAAGGGAAAATATAAACCCCGCACACCCACCCCATCTCAATTGTGATGATTTTTTTATTATAAGAAACTTGAAACACGTTTAAAATGCTAAATTTTTGTAAGGAAATATGGATTTTGCAATAATTAGGCTCCACCCCTTGGTTTGCCAACCAAAGAAAACTTCGTTACTAGTTACATCAGGGCTTAATCTTTGGCTTTAATTTTTTCTTAATATACACAGTATTTTTTTAATAACACGATATTCAAAAACAGGTTTTTAATTCCTCATACAGAAATAAAGATTTTGCAGTTAAGCTCCGCCTTCTTGACTCACGGCGAATAAAAAAAATCATCACAATTGAGACAGGGCGGGTGGGCGGGGCTACATTTTGCCTTGTTTTCTTAATATGTGTAGACTTATTTCAACAACGTCAGCGAGAACAGCAATTGCAACGGGACCTTAACGTCAACAGCAAGTTTATAAAATCTACTTGAATCCGTGCTGAGTTTTTAACCTAAAAATTCGAACTTTTGTAAAGAAAAAATTGTATGACATTTTGAAACTACAAAGCCGAATGTCCTAAAATTTTGGTTTCAGGTTATAACCATAGAAAATCGTTAATTTATTAACTGATGACGTCATCTCAAAATTTTGCCGACTAAATCCTATCTAAAATATGCTAATTTGACTCTATACTGGTAGCTTATAAATAAATTTGTAGTTTTTATAATTACTTATACAGGTGCCACAAAAAAATTAATGAATGAGTCAGTCTGTTTGATATGTATAGGGTGAGATACTAAGCGCGTCTAGAAGAAGAAATAGAAAAAAGTCATAATCCAAAGTTGTACTAAAATTATTTTTAACTGTACAGAGTGTTCTGTTCTTAAGGCGTAACACACAACTTGCTTTTTTAAAATGAAGCACCCTATATATTTTCATATATTTTGATTGATCTCTTCTTAAATTTTACAAGCACAATTTATTGTTGAAATTACAATGCGACGTTGCCATGTTACTCCAATTTTCTTGAAATTTTTAGCAATGGAAGGGTTACAAAAAAATCATAGTGGAGTTATTTTCAAAATCTGTCTTACAACATTTTGCAGACAGATAAAAAAAGCTACACGCTTTGTTGTGATATACATGAGATTAAAATTTCATATACAGAGTGTTTATAAAAATGTTTTCATTATTACAATTTTCAAACATCGATATTTCATTTTTTCCAAATAGAACAGCCTTGATTTTATTACTGCGTCTTATTCTATTTTTTGTTTTAGAACTGTTTATAAACACTCTGTATGTCCTAAGAAGCCGTCAATCAAAATATGTAAAAATATATAGGGTATTTTATTAAAAAAAAAGTTACGCGTTACGTCTTAAAAAACCACGACTACGTATATTAAGAGAAAAGGCAAAATATAAGCCCCGCCCACCCACCCTGTCTCAATTGTGACGATTTTTTTTAATCGTCAAGAGCCAAAGCAGCGGAATTTAATTGCAAAATCTTTATTATTTCAAAGGCAAAGATTAAGCCCCACCCATTTCTGCCCTGATTCAAATAGTAATGAAGTTTTCATTCGTTGAAAAACCTAGGGGCGGAGCCTAATTGCAAAATCCTTACAAAAATTTACCATTTTAACCGTGTTTTACGTTTCTAAGAATAACAAAATAATTACAATTGAGTTGGGGTGGGTGGCCGGGGTTTATATTTTACCTTTTTTTCTTAATATACATAGTATTCTTTGAACACGATACTCAAAAACATGTTTATAATTTCTTGTAAAGACATAAGTATTTTGTAGTTAAGCTCTGCCTCCTTGGTTCAAGGCAAAATATAAGCTCCGCCCACCCGCCCTATCTCAATTCAGATGATTTTTTTATTCGTGGTAAGCCGAGGGGCGGAGTTTAACTGAAAAATCCCTATTTCTCTACAAGAAATAAAAACATGAGTATCGGAACGAAACACCCAATATATTTTCACATATTTTGATTGATCTCTTCTTAGATTTTACAAGCACAATTTATTGTTGAAATTAAAATGCGACGTTGCCACGTTACTCCAATTTTCATGAATTTTTTAGCAATGGAAGGGTTACAAAAAAATCATAGTAAAGTTATTTTCAAAATCTGTCTTACAACATTTTGCAGAGAGATAAAAAAAGTTACGCGCTTTGTTGTGGTATAAATGAGATTAAAATTTCATATACAAAGTGTTTATAAAAATGTTTTCATTATTACAATTTTCAAATATCGATATTTCAGTTTTCTCAAATAGAACAGCCTTGATTTTATTACTGCGTCTTATTCTATTTTTTGTTTTAGAACTGTTTATAAACACTCTGTGTATCCTAAGAAGACGTCAATCAAAATATGTAGAAATATATAGAGTATTTTATTAAAAAAAAAAAACAGAAGTTACGCGTTACGTCTTAAAAACACGACTACATATATTAAGAAAAAAGGCAAAATATAAGCCCCGCCCACCCACCCTGTCTCAATTGTGACGATTTTTTTTAATCGTCAAGAGCCAAAGCAGCGGAATTTAATTGCAAAATCTTTATTATTTTAAAGCCAAAAATTAAGCCCCACCCATTCCTGCCTTGATCTAAAGAGTAATGAAGTTTTCATTCGTTGACAAACCTTGGGGCGGAGCCTAATTGCAAAATATTTACAAGAATAAAAAAAATCATTACAATTGAGTTGGGGTGGGTGGGTGGGGTTCATATTTTGCTTTTTTTTCTTAATATACATAGTATTCTTTGAACACGATACTCAAAAACATGTTTATAAATTCTTGTAAGGACATAAATACTTTGTAGTTAAGCTCTGCCCCCTTGGCTCAATGCAAAATATAAGCCCTGCCCACCCGCCCTGTGTCAATTCTGATGATTTTTTTATTCGTGGTAAGCCTAGGGGCGGAGTTTAACTGAAAAATTCTTATTTCTCTACAAGAAATAAAAACATATTTTTTAGTATCGCAATTTGATTGGTTGAAAAACCTTCATAAACCACAAGTGCAAGAGTATGTTATTTAAGGAAATTTTAAATGAGAGACGAAAATGGGGGACCACTTGTTTCGTACTCTAGGGGTCACGAAACGTCAAAAAAACATAAAAGTGGATATAAAAACGAAAAAGTTACTTTTTTACTAATAACACTCTTGTGATCACAGAAATGCCTTTTATTCCTTATATTATATAAAAATATCCAGTCTCACTCACTATCTACGCTTTTACAATGCCTACTCCGCACATGTTTTTTTAAATTCGAATTTTGTTTGCTTTTAAATGGGCACTTTTTGCACTCATACCATTTAATATCCGCCTCTTTTAAATGGTACGCATTAGTGTGACTTTTCAGACAAAACTTCGTCTTGGTTTTAAATTGGCACTTTTCGCACTTGTACCACACAATTTCCTCTTCATCCAAATGGTGGTTATTTATGTGCACTTTCAAGCTACAACTCTGTTTAGCTTTATATGGGCACTTTTCGCACTTGTACCATTTAATGTCCTTGTCACCCACGTGACGCCTCGATATGTGACGTTTTAACGTCGACGCCAACTTAGTTTTAAACTGGCACTCTTGGCACTGATGCCACGTGACTTCCTGTTCATCCACATGTCGCAGATTTACGTGTCTTTTCAAACTATAGTTGTCTTTGGCTTTGTAGTGGCACTTCTGGCATTCGTGCCATTTAATATCTTGTTCATCTAGGTGGCGCACTTTTACGTGTTTGTTTAAAACGGAACTGTCTTTGGCCTTGAATGCGCACTTCTGGCACTCGTGCCATTTAATATCGCGGTCGTCTAAATGCCGGAAGTTTATGTGTCGTTTCAAAGAGGAGTTGTCTTTGGCTTTGTGTGGACACAGGTTGCATTTGTACCATTTAATGTCGTTTTCGTGCAAATGGCGTGCTTTTATGTGTTTGTTTAAGTTAGATTTTTGTTTGCATTTGTGGGGACATAGTTTACATTTGTGCCATTTAATATTTGGTTTGTCTAATAAATGGTGCAATTGTAGTTGGCTTTTCTGATTGGTTTTATACCACTGATTGTCTTCGTTGTGCATTTTCATGTGACGTTTTAAAGGGCCTTCTAGTTTTGATTTGAATGCACATTCTGTGCAGTGGTGCCAACTTATTTCGTCGTCGGTTAAGTGTTTCAGAATTTCGTGCTCTTTTAAGTAGTGTTTGTATTTAGTGGCGAAATCACAGTGGTGACATTTGTACAAAGAAACAATTTTTGGGGCTAGAAAACACGATGTGGTGTGTTGCAGCCATTTTAGTGAAAAGTGACTTTCAAAATGACATTTTTTACAAATATACTTGTGGCTAGTAAAATCGTTTTCACTTTCTTTTTTAATGTTACAGGGTTCCTGAAGGTGTTTTTTGTACTCTAGGGTTAGTTGTGTTTGAAAGTTGCACTCTTTGCAGTTAAAAATTTCAATGTCGGTGTTTTCACAGTTAAAATGTGGCAACGGAGAGTGGTGACGTCTGACGTGGGTCACCATTGAGCAAAATGATGTCGTAACGTAGTGACAAATTTTGCAGTGGCGTGGATTCTTCGCTTGTCCAGCAAACTCCTCTGAGTATTTCAGTGACATCTTGACTGGCCTAAATTCATGTTAGGTTTATTATGAGAAAGTTCGCGTCTTCTCTCACCTGGTATTCTCTAGATTCAAGACTCCTGAATCAATCTAACCTCAAAATTTTTCAGCCACTCAGGTTTCTGATTATCGGCTAATTTATGAATTATTGTAAGTGGGGGTATTTTCACACAATATTATAATCGTTTTTCGAGTAAAATAGGCGCAATGTCGGTCTAATTGTTTCGAAATGTTGATAAATTAACTCAAAATGACATCCAGCGCTGCCAATCACTGCAACGAAAATTCCATGTGTAGTAATAAACGCGATGCCAACCGTGATTACAATGTTACTAAATTTCCAAATGATTTATTTAATTTTTAGGATTTCTTATAATAATAAATGGTTTTGTTAGATTGTCACTTGTATTTGTCTCCACTTTTGGTCCCCTTGAATTTGGAATTGCCACTGAACAGTAACTTTTTAGTTGTGAGTTTGGTATGCAGTGATTTTTCCATTGACGTCATCAATTTTTCGGAAGGGATGTAAAAATTTTTGTCGCATTGCGTCATCAGTTTGCAAAAGCCAAGACAGAGAAGTTTGTGCTATTGTTTGGAAAATGATCAACAAGATAGAAGAGATAAGATATGACACGTAAATAAATAGACCTTGTTTTTGTAGTAAGACAACAGATTTGAAATCAAATCTGGGAAATTTAATTAATTTTTAAGAAAAGAAGTGAAAAAAGAAGTGAAATATGTAGTTTCGAGGTATTAATTGTTCTAAAATTTGTCTACTGATTATAAAAACGAAAAAAAAAACAAGAAAGTTAATTTTTTTTAGGCTTGATTCTCGATTTTTAAATTTTAGATTTTTCAATTTTTTAATTTTCTGATTTTCGTTTTTTTAATTTTAAATTATTCAAATTTTCAAATTTTAAGTTTTCGATTTTGGTCTACTACGATTTTTCAATTTTTGGATTCTTCGATTTCTCGATTCTTAAAATTTTCGATTGGTCAAGTTTTGAATTCTTCAATTTCTCGACTCTTAAAATTGTCGATTTCTCAATTTTTTTATTTTTCGATATCTCAATTTTCCGATGTTTCAGTGTTACTGATTTTTAAATTTTCCGATTTTCAATTTTTCCATTTTTCAATTGTTAACGTTTCTTAATTTTTGTTTTTTATTTATAAATTTTCCGATTTATCGATTTTTTGATTTTTCAACTTTTCGATTTCTTAGTTTTTCAATTCTTCAATTTTTCGGGCTTTCAGGTTTTTGATGTTGCAATTTGTCAATTTCTAACTTTTCGATTTTTCGATTTTGGGCTATTTCGATTCTTCAGTTTTCCGATATTTTAATTTTTCAATTTTTGGACTTTTCGACCACTCCATTTTTCGACTTTTTGACTTTTCGATTTTTCGGTTTTCTAATTTTTCGATATTCGAATTTTTCAGTTTTTCGAATTCCCAATTTTTCGTCATTTTAGTTTTGGAATTTTTCAATTTTCCTATTGTTCAGTTTTTCGATTCGTCAATTTTCCGATTTTTCGATTTTTCGACTTGTCAGATTTTTCGTTTTTCGATTTTTAAATTTTAGGTTTTTCAATTTCTGTTTTTCGATTTTTTTCATATCTCGTTTGCTTGATCTTTCGTTTTCGACTTTTCGGATTTCGATTTTTTGGTTTTTCGATATTTCAATTTTTCGGTTTCTCAATTTATCGTTATTTTAGTTTTTCAATTTTTCGATTTTTTTAAATTTTCGATTTTTCGATTTCTCCATTTTTCAGTTTTTTTATTTCCCAATTTTTCGAGGTTTTAAATTTTCGATTTTTCGATTTCTCCATTTTTCAGTTTTTCTAGTTCTCAATTTTTCGATGTTTCAGTTTTGAGATTTCCGATTTCTCGATTTTTTATTTTTACGATTTTTCAACTTTCCGATTTTTGAATTTTAGATTTTCAATTTTTGGATATTTCAGTTTTAGGATTTTTCAATAAATAATTCGATTCGATTTTTAGATTTCTCGATTTTTTTGATTTTTCGATTTTTCAGGTTTTTGATTTAGGAATTTTTCGATATTTTAATTTTTGAGTTTTTAAAATTTTAGGTTTTTCCCAATTTTTCAGTTTTTCGATTTTTTAGTTTTTCAAATTTTCGATTAATAGATTTTTTCAATTTCCAGATTGTTCAGTTTTCGATTTTTAAATTGTAGGTTTTTCAATTTCTGAATTTTTCGATTTTTTAATGTTTCGGTTCCTAAGTCTTTAGCTTTTCGACTTTTCGAATTTCGATTTTTTGGTTTTTGAATTTTTCAATGGTTCAGTTTCTCGATTTATCGATTTTTTTTTTAAATTTATCTATTTTTAAGTTCTAACTTTTCGATTTTTCGATTTTGAGCTATTTCGATTTTTCAATTTTTCCATATTTTTGTTTTGGGATTTTTCAATTTGTAGATTTTTTTGCATTTTCGATTTTTAAATTTCAGATTTTTCAAAATTTCAATTTTTCAACTCTTCAGTTTTTCGATATTTTAATTTTTCAATTTTTAGACTTTTCGACTTCTCAATTTTTCGACTTTTCAATTCTTCGGTTTTCCAATTTTTCAATATTCCAATTTTTCAATTTTTCGAATTCCCAATTATTCCTCATTTTAGTTTTGGAATTTTTCAATTTTCCGATTTTTCAGTTTTTCGATTCGTTAATTTTCCGATTTTTCCATTTTTCGATTTTTCGACTTTTTTATTTCTCCATTTTTCAGTTTTTCTATTTCTCAATTTTTCAATGTTTCAGTTTGGCATTTTTCAATTTCCCGATTTTTCAATTTTTCTTGTAATTCTCAATTTTTCGATATTTTACGTTTAGGATTTTTCTATAATTCGATTCTATTTTTAGATTTTTTTGATTTTTTAATTTTTAGATTTTTCAGGTTTTCGATTTTACAATTTCCGGATATTTTAATTTTTGAATTTTTAAAATTTTAAATTTTTCCCGATTTTGCAGTTTTTCGATTTTCCAATATTTCGAAGTTCCGATTTTTTACTTTTTCGATTTTTTGATGTTTTCATTTCACAATTTTTCAATTTTCCGACATTTTAATTGATCAAATTTCAAAATTTTAGATGTTTCGATTTCTCAATTTTTCAGTTATTCCATATTTTTATTTTTAATTTTTCGGTCTTTAGTTTTTCGATATTTTAGTTTTTCAATTTTTCGATTTCTCGGTTTATTGAGATTTCAGTGTTGCAATTTATAGATTTTGGCTATTTCGATTTTTCAATTTTTCCATATTTCAGTTTTGAGATTTTTCAATATTTCAATTTTTCTTCAATTTGTCGATTTTTTGCGTTTTCGATTTTTAATTTGCAGATTTTTCAAAATTTCAAGTTTTCGATTCTTTCATTTCTCGATTTTTCGGTTTTCTAATTTTCTGATATTCCAATTTTTCAGTTTTCCGAATTCCCAATTTTTCGTCATAATTTCCCGATTGTTCAATAATCAAAATATCCATAAACCGAGAAACCGAGAATTTCAAAGTTGAAAAATTGAAAAACCAAAAAATCGAAATCCGAAAAGTCGAAAACGAAAGATCGAGCAACTGAGATATTAAAAAATGAAAAAACTGAGAAATTGAAAAACCTTAAATTTAAAAATATAAAAATGAAAAATCCGAAAATTCGCAAAATCAAAAATCCAAAATTTAAAAAATCGAATTGGAAAATTGAAAAATTGATATTTTGAAAAATCTGAAATTTAAAAATCAAGAAAGCAAAAAATCAAAAATCAATACAGCCCAAATCGAAAAGTTAGAAGTTAAAAAATAAATAAATTTAAAATAAAAAAAAATCGATAAGTCGAAACACCGAAATCTCGATAAACTGAGAAATCGAAAAATTGAAAAACTAAAATATCGGCAAATTTAAAACCCGAAAAATTAAAAAATAGAAATATCGAATAACTAAAAAAATCAATAAGTCGGGAAACCGAAAAACTGAAAAATTCCAAAAATAAAATGACGAAAAATTGGGAATTGGAAAAATTGAAAAATTGAAACATTGAAATTTTTCAAAATTAGAAAACCGAAAAATGGAAAAGCGGAAAAGTTAAAAAATCGAGAAATTGGAAAGTCTAAAAACTGAAAAATTGAAGAATCGAAAAACTGAAAAATTTGAAAATTTAAAAATCTAAAAATGAAAAATTCGAAAAGTCGAAAAATCGGGAAATCGAAAAATCCAAAATTTAAAAAATCCAAAAATTGAATAATCAAAATATCCATAAAGCGAGAAAGCGAGAATTTCAAAGTTGAAAAATTGAAACCTTAAATTTAAAAATAGAAAAATGAAAAATCCGAAAATTCGCAAAATCAAAAATCCAAAATTTAAAATATCCAAAAATTGGAAAATTGAAAAATTGATATTTTGAAAAATCTGAAATTTAAAAATCGAGAAAGCAAAAAATCAAAAATCAATACAGCCCAAATGGAGAAGTTAAAAAATAAATAAATTTAAAATAAAAAAATCGATAAATCGAAACACCGAAGTCTCGATAAACTGAGAAATCGAAAAATTCAAAAACTAAAATATCGGCAAATTTAAAATCCGAAAAATAAAAAATAGAAATATCGAATAACTGAAAAAAAAATCAATAAATCGGGAAACCGAAAAATTGAATAACCAAAAAATCGAAATCCGAAAAGTCGAAAATCGAAAAATCAAGCAACCGAAACATCAAAAACCGAAAAATTGAAAAATTGAAAAATGAAAAATCCGAAAAGTCAAAAATCCAAAATTTAAAAAGTAAGAAAATTGAAAAATCGGAAAATTGATGAATCGAAAAACTGAACAATCGGGAAATTGAAAAATTCTAAAACTGAAATGACGAAAAATTGGGAATTCGAAAAACTGAAAAATCGGAATATCGAAAAATGGGAAAACCAAAAAATCGAAAAGCCAAAAAATTTATAATATTTTGGAAAATCTGAAATTAAAAGTCGAAAAAGCAAAAAATCGGTAAATTAAAAAATGAAAAAATCGAAATCCGAAAAGTCGAAAATCGAAAGATCGAGCAACCGGAACATCAAAAAACCGAAAAATTGAAAAACCTAAAATTTAAAAATCGAAAAATGAAAAATCCGAAAAGTCAAAAAATTTAAATATATTTTGGAAAATCTGAAATTTAAAAATCGATAAAGCAAAAAATCGGTAAATTAAAAAATGAAAAAATCGAACTCCGAAAAGTCTAAAATCGAAAGATCGAGCAACCGGAACATCAAAAAATCAAAAAATTCAGAAATTGAAAAACCGAAAACTTGTATTTTAAAATTTTTCGATTTCTCACTATCTCGATTTCATATTGTCCCCACTTGTACCGAACGCGACCTTTTCGAATTTGCAGGATTTGTTGGGCTTCTTTTCAGGGGCGAGGAAAGTTCTCTCCAAATAACCTTCGACCATTTTTTTTCAATTTTTAATTTTTAGACTTTTTTCTCACGATCTTTTCTCACATAACGTCGTTGCAATTTTGATAACCATCGATATTGAATTAATGATTACAGCACAATGTATGACTTTATAGAGTTAATCCACTCATATTGATTTAATGATTACAGTACCGGATTTACAATTTATAACTCTAGAAAATCTATGACGTAATGTCAAAAAAATTATTTTTAGATGCATCTACAATTACGCAACGTGATCATAAAAGCCACTAGTAAATCAAATTGGCTTTGACATTCCGTGGATTTGCCGCCTCGTTGTGATGATTGATTGACTACTCATCGCCCGTCGTAAACATCAATCATCACGAAATTTTCAGACGATTTTCCAGAGTGTGCGCTTGCATAATAGTTCTGACACTCATCTCAAAAGGACGGCGACGTATTTTTTGACATGTGTCAATTAGTAATAATTAATAAACGTTAATAAACAAATAGTTCCCACCCTTAACATTGTCGTATTACTGGTTGCATACCCTTCCAAATATCCAAACAATTCTTGCTGTGGTTTAATTTTGGAATCCACAACGGTTGCTAACACTAAATTTAGCATCAACATTTGTTACTTTGAGAGTTCAAGGGGTTAATTCGTCTAATTTAAATAATACCTCATTCATACCTTATCTAACTGTTAAATTCGTAAAGCAAATAACCCAACACCGTCTACTTTGCCCATGAATCACACCTCAAAATCCACTTACCCTATCAAAAATGCTTCTAAAATACTGCACAGTGGGCGACGTGGGGGTGTGGATCTGGTTCAACGGAATATTAACTTCGTCATCCCCATCCATCGTCGAGGAAATCCTCAACTTCAATTTCCCGTCGTTCGCATCCATGCCTCACACACTAATAACCGCACTATCGATACCTTATCTCTTTATCAACACCGCATTCGAAAAGCCAAGGCGCCCTCCACCAATTTTAAAAATGCTATCATCGCTGATAACGATTCTGCGTTCCACCGGTATCCCGTTTTCTCGAAAACCTCGTCTTTCGCCTCTTCTTCAAAAAATTGCTTCTTTCTGTGGACAGAATTTTAAGAGCAATTAAGCGGTGATTGTTTGTGGGATGATAAGAGCCCGCGACGGTCGCGTGCTATTAAAATCGTGTGTTTAGATACTCTAAGCAAACTCAGTACAATGAACGACGGAATTAAAGGTTTCAGGATCCTTGACATTTATCGCTTGTTCCGGTGTAAATGATATTAGATTTTTTATGAGGTTGAAGAATTCGTTGCTTTGTGACTGAAAAGACCGGAATTACATCTCACGGAATGTGGACTAATTGGGAATTTCCTTAGATGATTCATTGTGTTGCAAGGTTGTGAAAACGGATAATGAACGGGAATTACGTTGAGATGTGGATAAATATATCCGCTTGGAAATGTGTCGAGTAATAGTGGATTGTCGTGTGTTTAAATGTTTATTCGAAAATTTGAATGGACCAATAAAACGTGATGAGGAGATGACGTAATGTTGCGCGCCAATCACAAATCGATCTGATTGCTGTCTCGATAATAAATAATTTAAAGATCGCATTGCATTAAAAAATGTAATCGAATATTTATGATTAGATAAACGATCTTTATTTATTCAAAAACCTGGAATTGCTCAAGGCCACTTTGGGGCTGCTATTGTTTGGTAAATTTATTACTAATTAAATTAATGTAATTAATGTGTTTACGGGATTACGGGCACCTTCAAATCTGCTTTAATTGACAGTTACAACTGTATATATTAATAGTGTTTTTTGTCTTGCGCAGGGGTCTCGCGCAGTGTATTTTGCGTGGGAAATTTAAATCTACGGCAAAAGTTTCTCAAGTGTCTCGGGTTCCTCACATTTTTTAAGTTTCTAAAGTTTTGCAAGTTTCACAGGTTTGTCAGCTTCCTTATCTTTTTTAATTTGGTCAAATTTTTGAAATTATCCTGATTAAAAACCCTTTTTAAGTTTTTTTAATTGCCACTAATGCTTCTCAATTTTCTAAAATTCCTCAAGTTTGTCAAACATACGAAGTTTCTAAACTTTCTAAAATGTTCAACTTTGTCGAGTTTTTAAAGCTCAGGTTTTTAAGTTTTCAACTTTTTCAGGTGTCACGGGTTCCTCACATTTTTCAAGTTTCTAAAGTCTCGCAAGTTTTTCGCGTTTCTCAAGTTGCTTATGCTTCTTAATTTGGTCAAATTGTTCAAATTTCTGGAATTTTCTAGTTTAAAAACACTTTCATTTTTTTAAATTGGAACTAACGCTTCTCAATTTTCTAAAAATCCTCAAGTTTGTCAAAGATACAAAGTTTCTGACGTTTTTAAAATTTTCAACTTCGTCAATGTTTTTTAAGGCTCATTTTTTTTTAAGATTTCAAGTCTTTCAGCTTTCTCAAGTGTCTCGGGTTCCTCACATTTTTTAAGTTTCTAAAGTTTTGCAAGTTTCACAGGTTTGTCAAGTTCCTTATCTTTCTTAATTTGGTCAAATTGTTAAAATTTCCGAAATTTTCCTGTTTAAAAGCCCGTTTTAAATTTTTTCAATTGCCACTAATGCTTCCCAATTTCCTAAAATTTTACAAGTTTGTCAAACATACGAAGTTTCTAAACTTTCTAAAATGTTCAGCTTTGTCGAGTTTTTAGAGCTCAGGTTTTTAAGGTTTCAAGTTTCTCAGGTGTCTCGGGTTCCTCACATTTTTCAAGTTTCTAAAGTCTTGCAAGTTTTTCACGTTTCTCAAGTTGCTTATGCTTCCTAATTTGGTCAAATTGTTCAAATTTCTGGAATATTCTAGTTTAAAAACCCTTTAATTTTTTTAAATCGCTACTAATGCTTCTCAATTTTCTAAAAATCCTCAAGTTTGTCAAAGATGCAAAGTTTCTGACGTTTTTAAAATTTTCAACTTGGTCAAAGTTTTTTAAGGCTCATTTTTTTTTTTTTAAGATTTCAAGTCTTTCAGCTTTCTCAAGTGTCTCGGGTTCCTCACATTTTTTAAGTTTCTAAAGTTTTGCAAGTTTCACAGGTTTGTCAAGTTCCTTATCTTTCTTAATTTGGTCAAATTGTTCAAATTTCTGAAATTTTCCAGTTTAAAAACCCGTTTTAAGTTTTTTCAATTGCCACTAATGCTTCTCAATTTCCTCAAATTTCACAGATTTCTCAAACATACGAAGTTTCTAAACTTTCTAAAATGTTCAACTTTGTCGAGTTTTTAAAGCTCAAGTTTTTAAGTTTTCAAGTTTTTCAGGTGTCTCGGGTTCCTCACATTTTTCAAGTTTCTAAAGTCTTGCAAGTTTCTCGCGTTTCTCAAGTTGCTTATGCTTCTTAATTTGGTCAAATTGTTCAAATTTCTGTAATTTTCTAGTTTAAAAACCCTTTAATTTTTTTAAATTGTTACTAATGCTTCTCAATATTCAAAAAATCCTCAAGTCTGTCAAAGATTCAAAGTTTCTGACGATTTTAAAATTTTCAACTTTGTCAATGTTTTTTAAGGCTCATTTTTTAAGGTTTCAAGTCTTTCAGCTTTCTCCAGTGTCTCGGGTTCCTCACATTTTTTAAGTTTCTAAAGTCTTGCAAGTTTTTCGCGTTTCTCAAGTTGGTTTTGCTTCTTAATTTGGTCGAATTGTTCAAATTTCTGGAATTTTGTAGTTTAAAAACCCTTTAATTTTTTTAAATTGCCAGTAATGCTTCTCAATTTTCTAAAAATCCTCAAGTCTGTCAAAAATGCAAAGTTTCTGACGTTTTTAAAATTTAAAATTTCGTCAAAGTTTTTAAGGCTCATTTTTTTAAGGTTTCAAGTCTTTCAGCTTTCTCAAGTGTCTCGGGTTCCTCACATTTTTCAAGTTTCTAAAGTCTTGCAAGTTTTTCGCGTTTCTCAAGTTGCTTATGCTTCTTAGTTTGGTCAAATTGTTCAAATTTCTGGAATTTTCTAGTTTGAAAACCTTTTCATTTTTTTAAATTGCTACTAGTGCTTCTCAATTTTCTAAAAATCCTCAGGTTTGTCAAAGATGCAAAGTTTCTGACGTTTTTAAAATTTTCAACTTCGTCAAAATTTTTTAAGGCTCATTTTTTTAAAGTTTCATGTCTTTCAGCTTTCTCAAGTGTCTCGGGTTACTCACATTTTTTAAGTTTCTAAAGTTTTGCAAGTTTCACAGGTTTGTCAAGTTCCTTATCTTTCTTAATTTGGTCAAATTGTTCAAATTTCTGAAATTTTCCTGTTTAAAAACCATTTTTAAGTTTTTTCAATTGCCACTAATGTTTCTCAATTTTCTAAAATTCCTCAAGTTTGTCTAACATACGAAGTTTCTCAACTTTCTAAAATGTTCAACTTTGTGGAGTTTTTGAAGCTCAAGTTTTTAAGGTTTCAAGTTGCTTATGTGTCTCGGGTTCCTCACATTTTTCTAGTTACCAAAGTCTTGCAAGTTTCTCGCGTTTCTCAAGTAGCTTATGCTTCCTAATTTGGTCAAATTGTTCAAATTTCTGGAATTTTCCAATTTTGAAATCCTTTAATTTTTTTAAATTGCTGCTAATGCTTCTCAATTTTCTAAAAATCCTCAAGTTTGTCAAAGATGCAAAGTTTCTGACGTTTTTAAAATTTTCAACTTCGTCAAAGTGTTTTAAGGCTCATTTTTTTAAGGTTTCAAGTCTTTCAGCTCTCTCAAGTGTCTCGGGTTCCTCACATTTTTTAAGTTTCTAAAGTTTTGCAAGTTTCACAGGTTTGTCAAGTTCCTTATTTTTCTTAATTTGGTCAAATTGTTTAAATTTCTGAAATTTTCCAATTTAAAAACCCTTCTTAAGTTTTTTCAATTGCCACTAATGCTTCTCAATTTTCTAAAATTCCTCAAGTTTGTCAAACATACGAAGTTTCTAAACTTTCTAAAATGTTCAACTTTGTCGAGTTTTTAAAGCTCAAGTTTTTAAGATTTCAAGTTTCTCAGGTATCTCGGGTTCCTCACGGTTGTCAAGTTTCTAAAGTCTTGCAAAGTTTTTCGCGTTTCTCAAGTTGCTTATGCTTCTTAATTTGGTCAAATTGTTCAAATTTCTGGAATTTTCTAGTATAAAAACCCTTTAATTTTTTTAAATTGCTACTAATGTTTCTCAATTTTCTAAAAATCCTCAAGTTTGCCAAAGATGCAAAGTTTCTGACGTTTTTAAAATTTTCAACTTCGTCAAAGTTTTTTAAGGCTCATTTTTTTAAGGTTTCAAGTCTTTCAGCTTTCTCAAGTGTCTCGGGTTCCTCACATTTTTTAAGTTTCTAAAGTTTTGCAAGTTTCACAGGTTTGTCGAGTTCCTTATTTTTCTTAATTTGGTCAAATTGTTCAAATTTCTGAAATTTTCCAGTTTAAAAACCGTTTTTAAGTTTTTTCAATTGCCACTAATGCTTCTCAATTCCCTAAAATTTCTCAGGTTTGTCAAACATACGAAGTTTCTAAACTTTCTAAAATGTTCAACTTTGTCGAGTTTTTAAAGCTCAAGTTTTTAAGATTTCAAGTTTCTCAGGTGTCTCGGTTTCCTCACAGTTGTCAAGTTTCTAAAGTCTTGCAAGTTTTTCGCGTTTCTCAAGTTGCTTATGCTTCTTAATTTGGTCAAATTATTCAAATTTCTGGAATTTTCTAGTTTAAAAACCCTTTAATTTTTTTAAATTGCTAGTAATGCTTCTCAATTTTCTAAAAATCCACAAGTTTGTCAAAGATGCAAAGTTTCTGACGTTTTTAAAATTTTCAACTTCGTCAAAGTTTTTTAAGGCTCAATTTTTTAAGGTTTCAAGTCTTTCAGCTTTATCAAGTGTCTCGGGTTTCTCAAATTTTTTAAGTTTCTAAAGTTTTGCAAGTTTCACAGGTTTGTCGAGTTCCTTATTTTTCTTAATTTGGTCAAATTGTTCAAATTTCTGAAATTTTCCAGTTTAAAAACCGTTTTTAAGTTTTTTCAATTGCCACTAATGCTTCTCAATTCCCTAAAATTTCTCAGGTTTGTCAAACATACGAAGTTTCTAAACTTTCTAAAATGTTCAACTTTGTCGAGTTTTTAAAGCTCAAGTTTTTAAAATTTCAAGTTTCTCAGGTGTCTCGGTTTCCTCACAGTTTTCAAGTTTCTAAAGTCTTGCAAGTTTCTCGCGTTTCTCAAGTTGCTTATGCTTCTTAATTTGGTCAAATTGTTCAAATTTCTGGAATTTTCTAGTATAAAAACCCTTTAATTTTTTTAAATTGCTACTAATGTTTCTCAATTTTCTAAAAATCCTCAAGTTTGCCAAAG